GGGGCACATATGAGTGCTTGGTGAAGAGAGGAAATTCTATGGTTTCACAGTGGAATTGATGCAGTGCTCATTTAGAGACTCAGAAATGGAACGTTTAGCAGTTTGATAGCAGTCAAGGGGGACCATGCCCTGCTCTTGTGGTTATGTGGAAGAAAACATGGCATAAGGTGGGTTGTTCTAGGGTGGTTTTATAGGCTCAGTTTGCATTTGCAATTCTCCATGCTATCTAACTCTTGCCATGAGAGAGAGAGATCCCAGGGTTGCCAGGTTTTTTCAAGAGAAGCCAGAAATCTAGATTTTTGTATGAATTTTTCTAATTTTAAAAGGTTAACAACTAATTCAATTTTATTTTTAAAACACCATGAGAGACAAATAATGTGTCTGCAGGCTGGATTTGATCCTTGAGTTGCCACTTTATAACCTCTGGCTAAGATATGCTGGTAACCAGCATTGTTGAATACAGGGCTGTTGTTTGCATCATCCCACCCTCCCTTTCTTGCACTCCCCTTTTGGGACATGTTCAGTACATCCTGGGTTGGGTTATAGTTAGGTGGCATGGATTCAAAATAGTTGGTCGCTGCTTGGTCACATACATACCATAAGCAGTAGTTCTGCCACTGAATGCAGTGATGATTGCATTTTTCTTCTATATTAGAAGTAGGAGAAAGAGTATACATAGCTTGTTTATTATGTATTTACTGTATAAAATGTATGAATATGTAATGAGTATTATAGTATTATGTATTAATAGCTGTGCATTTACTGTTTTACTGTATAAAAAAATGCTTGCTATATATCATGTAAAGTTTTAGATTTTACTATGTACCATAGTAAAATACTATGTATTTTAGAAGAGTTGTTCTGGAAGCTTTTCAGATATAAACTGATTTAGTGCTTATATCTACCCTGTGAAGTAAGTGCTAAATTCTATGGTTTCACGGAGGAATTGACATGATAGGAATATCCTATTTCTCAGCAAGCTATCACCCATTGGTATCCATTGATTCTTGTCTGAATCACCTCATTTTACAGGTGACAAAGCTGAGCATAGAGAAATCAAATAAACTTATTCAAAACTACAGTCAGGAAGTGGTAGAGCCAGGATTTAAGCCCTGGCAGTCTGGCTCCAGAGACATACCCTTTTTTGATTTTCCCGCGTTTCCCAACCTACATGTAATTGTTCTCTGTTTTTTCTACACATCCTGCTGATCTCCTTCCCTATGGCCTGGCACTAAGAGATGAACACTGTACGACAGGCACAGAATTGGGCACAGTCCTTTTCTCCAGCAGTGACAGCATAGTTGATGATGCTTTGACTTTTGCATGTGTGAAGATGGAGATGTTAGTGATCACAATTATAATGAAAAGACCCGATTTTCTTCTTTTTTCTAAACATTTTAGTTAGGAATTTTTAAACCGCAGACAAGTTGCAACAGTAGCACAACAAACACGTGTTACCTAGCAATTACTAAATTTTGCCATGTGTGCCTGTTTTTCTTGCTGTAAACCATTTGAGAATTAGTTCAAATACTTCACCCCAAAATACTTAATTCAGCAAGTATCTCATAAGAACAAGGACATTCTCTGATCACACTCAGGAAATCTGTCATTGATAAAATACTGTCATCTAATATGTAGCCCCTATGCAGATTTCCCGGAAACCCTGGTGGCACACTGTTTAAGTACTGGGCTGCTAACCAAGAGGTTGGCAGTTTGAACCCACCAGCCGCTATGTGGGAGAAAAACGTGGCAATCTGCTTCCGTAAGAATTACAGCCTTGGAAACCCTACGGGGCAGTTCTCTGTCCTATAGGGTCCCTATAAGTCAGAATTGATTCATTGGTTTGAACCACCAACCTTTCGGTTAGCAGTGAGGTATTTAACCACTGTGCCACCAGCGCTCCTTGAGCTACTAAGTGTATGGTAATTTGTTACAGCAGCAATAGGAAACCAACACACCTTCTTACCTCCTTCGTGGTGTGGATCCATGGGGTATTTTCTTTTTATAAATGTGTTATAATCCATCTCTGGCATTACTCATTTTTATGCTTAAGTTGTCTCAAATTTGGCCATTGGGAGCCTCTTCAAACTGTTTGTGACATGTCCCCCATCAGTTTTTGAGGAGCTCCTTCTTTTTTGGTATAGCAGCATAGTCCAGGCTCATCTGGTACGTTCCCTCCCCAACATGCAGTCAGTCTCCAAGAGCAGAACTCATACTCTTAAGCAGTACACTGGTCTGCTTCTTACATTGTACTCTGGACTGAAGTAAACACATATGACTTTGCATTGTTTCTCTTTTAACAGTATTCCACAGGCACCACAATAGTGATTAATCATTGCGAAAACCCTGTAACAGGGCTTTAAAAGTTTGCCACAAGAATGAGTAGTATGGAACATCTGGCCTTTTCATTTCAACTCCTCCTGAGTCTCTGCTTTGCGTGGCATTCCTGCCGGGGCTAGGCAAATAGCAGCAGGGATGTATGAGTGTTTGCACATAAATTTGTAGAGAAATGCTTTCCTCCGACTCTAGAGGCTGAATATTATTCTAGGACCATAAGTTTCTCTATTACACTCATTCAGAAATTTTTCAATACGCAGTCCTTTTAAAACATTGTTCTGTAGAATTCTTAGCTAACTTTTTTAAGTGGATTGTACTAACATGTAGGAAGAGATTGAATTTTCATGGTTGAGAGTAAATGTTACCCATTACTGTTGAGTTGATTCCAACTCATAGTGACCATACAGGACAGAGTAGAACTGCCCCATAGGGTTTCCAAGGCTGTAAATGTTTATGGAAGCAGTCTGCCACATCTTTTTCCTGTGGGGCGGCTTGAGTTTGAACCACCGACCTTTCAGTTGGCAGCCAAGCGCTTTAACCAGTGGGCCAGGACGCCTTCAAGTAAGTGCTAGTCTTTGGATATACAGTGAAACCTGTGAGAGCCAGAACTTGGCAAGATTGCTTTGTTTTTCCAGCTCTTGAAGGTTTTCCACCTTTGACGGGGTGTGGCCTGCTTTGTATTAGTGAAAAATATTTGAATTTTCCTTCTCTGACAGATTTCCATCTTACATAAGTTCCAGCTTTCGTAGGTTTTACTGTAAATAAAAATCCAGTGTGATTGTAGGACTTTCATCTCAGACAGGGGTCACAAATGGCAACTATTTATAGGAGGCTGGCAGGAAATGTAAAAGAGTGAAGCAGGCCAGATGGGGACTGTGCTGACCTGGACAGTGAGGACTGTCCTGAGGGAGCAGTTGCAGTTCTCCAGTTGACTCTTGTCATGGGAAAGAGAGCCCAGGCTTGCCATGATTTTCAAGAGAAGCCAGACATCTAGATTTTTATATGAATTCTTCCAATTTCAAACGGTTATCACCTAATGCAATTTTATTTTTAAAACCCATGAGGGTTGAACAAACCATGTGTGCAGGCTGGATTTGCCTCTTGGATTACCAGTTTATAATCTCTGGTCTAGAATCTACTGGTAACCAACATTACTGGGCAGAGAGGACTATCTAGAGCAGGAGTCCTTTACCCTTTTGGTGCAATGAATCCACCTGGCAATCTGTGGAAAGCTATGGACCTCTTCTCAGAATAATGTTTGTAAGTGTATAAAAAGTATATATGATTACAAAAGAAACCAGTTATATTGAAATACAGTTATAAAATTTTTTTTTAAATTGTGATGAATGTACTTTTTTATTAATGGATTAAATAGCAAGGTCTAGTGGTGAGTCTGTTAAACACCACAGATTTTTAAATACTATGAGAATAAGTGATATTTTGAGATAACTAAAACAACTGTAGAGTAATAATGTTGTTGTTAGTTGCTGTCGAGTCACTTCCGACTGATAGTGACCCCATGCACAACAGAAAAAAACACTGCACGGTCCTGCGCCATCCTCAAAATCGTTGTTGATGGAGCCCATTGTTGCAGCCACCGTGTCAATCTATCTCGTTGAGGGTCTTCCTCTTTTTTGCTGACCCTGTACTTTACCCAGCATGATGTCCGTCTCCAGGGACTGATCTCTCCTGACAACATGTCCAAATTATGTAAGACGTAGTCTCGTCATCCTTGCTTCTAAGGAGCATTCTGGTTGTTGTTCTTCCAAGACAGACTGTTCGTTCTTTTGGCAGTCCACGGTATATTCAATATTCTTCGCCAACACTGCAGTTCAAAGACATCAATTCTTCTTTGGTCTTCCCTATTAGTTGTCCAGCTTTCGCATGCATATAAGGCAATTGAAAACACCATGGCTTGGGTCAGGTGCACCTTAGTCCTCAAGGCGACATCTTTGCTTTTCAACACTCTAAAGAGGCCTTTTGCAGCAGATTTGCACAGTGCAGTGCGTCTTTTGATTTCTTGATTGCTGCTTCCGTGGGTGTTGATTGTGCATCCAAGTAAAATGAAATCCTTGACAACTTCAATGTTTTCTCCATTTATCATGATGTTGCTTATTGGTCCAGTTGTGAGGATTTTTGTTTTCTTTATGTTGAGGTGTAATCCATACTGAAGGCTGTGATCTTTGATCTTAATCAGTAAGTGCTTCCAGTCCTCTTCACTTTCAGCAAACAAGGTTGTATCATCTGCATAATGCAGGTTGTTAACAAGTCTTCCTCCAGTCTTGATGCCCCATTCTTCGTCATATAGTCCAGCTTCTCAGATTATTTGCTCAGCATACAGATTGAATAATAATAGCTATTGTCTACTGGTGGCAGTCACAGATACTGCTAATACTGCTATGCTTTGTTACTTACATATATAATTAAGGGTTGTATTCAATTTCAACTAGAAACCAGTGAAAACAAAAATGTGATTTTTTTTCCTCATCCATGACCCTAAAAGAGTCTCAGGTTAAGAACCCTTGGTCCAAAATAATCCTTACCCTGTATAGTACATAAGTGTAGCAGTATGATTTTATTGAGTATAATTTAGCAAGTTGCCATCTTGCTGCCTCTACAGTTAACTTTCTGGTTACTGAACTTGATTCTGTGTTTTTCTTTAGAACGTTATCATTTGTCTTATAAGATTGTACGAACGGACAGTCGCCTGGTACGCAGCATTCTGACAGCCCATGGATTTCATGAAGTAAGCTCATTTTTACTTCTCGTTGTTAGTTGCCATCGAGTTGGCTCCAGCTCATGGAGACCTTAGGTATAACAGAACAAAATGTTGTCGGGTCCTGCGCCATCTTCATGTTTGAGAGCATTCTTGGAGCTATTATATCAATTATGCTCATGGAATCCATTGTTGCGGCTGTTTATCAGTTATGCTCATGGATATTATGAAGCAAGCTCATTTTTACTACCTCACCTAATTTACCTCACCTCATTTGCTTCAAAGCTGAAATCCTAGCCACCTAACTGACTTTACCAATTAACCAGGCCAGCTCTAGAAAGTACATGGGGCCAATGCTTAGTGATGATGAGAACTTGGATTGAATTTCTGAGGGGCTTTACCAGTTTCTCCTAGCAATACATGAAAAAGATTTCCACAATTTTTTTGCAAAAAAAATAATTCTTTTTTTTGCAAACAACAGAAATGGACTCTGGCTAACTTAAGCCAAAGGGATTTGTAGGAAGGGTGTGGACAGGGTGGCTAATAGAATCAGAGGAATAGCTGAAAAGGCAAGCCATTGGAAAGAGAAGGATCAGGACAGCCCCAGAGATCTAGTAACAAGAATCTCCGGGACCATTTCCTCAAGGAACTGCCATGGAAGTGACGAAGTCCATTCATTGTCCTTGTGCCTTTCTTTGCTCAAGAATCTTTCTGGAGGTAGAATAATTGGCCTAGCTTGGGTCATGGACCCACTCCTTTGGGGAGGGGAAGAGTAGGTTATTGGCAGGTCCTTCAAAACTAAGGAGTAAGTTGTTCCCCAAAGAAAATTGGGATGTTGTCATCAAAAGGGACAGGCAGAAATGCTGGGCAGATTTCCACTAGAGATATTTTGAGACAATTGATAATCAATTCATAATTGATTGCTAGATGTTTCCTTATCCTAGGTTGGAATCTGAAATAGACATTTTTGAGGAAGTTCTGATCCCAGTGCATTTCCTGTCTTGCGCTGTTTCATCTCCAAGGCTTAACATGGTGCCCATCACATCATAGACAGAGAGTATGTAATTGTTAAATGAATAGACAAATGAATTCTAATGAATGAACCAATGAATTCCAAGTTGGTTTGCTACTATAAGGTTTTAGTTCTGATTAGTATTGTATAGTCAGCATGTACAAGGACGTAAGGACAGTCTGAGGAGAGAGTGTTGGGTTGGGTCCTCTTCATATACTTTGATATGTAGGAATATTAGACAACATGGACTGCTGTAGATGGTTTAATTTATTTTACTTTTATATCTTGATTGCTTTTACAACTTGACTATCCCATCGTCTGTGAATTTTTGCTTTTATCTCTAGAGGCTCACGTACTAGCTAGGCCATACCTAAGAGTGCTCTGTGGATAAAAAATCACAGTGACCTTTCCTGCCATTGCTTTTCCTGGAGAGGGGCTATCTGTGATGTTTTTTTACCTTCTTGTCTTCTTGTCTGTTCTCAGGTTCACCCAAGTAGCACTGACTATAACCTCATGTGGACAGGATCCCACCTGAAGCCCTTCTTACTTCGCACCCTCTCTGAAGCACAAAAGGTTAATCACTTTCCCAGGTAATACTGTTGTAGCTGCTTTGCTCCATTTAAAGGTACCTGACATTGGAGCAGGTAGCCAGCAGAGATAATTAATGTCATTTAAAAAAAAAAAAAAAAGAGGAAATCTGTGATATAGGGCAACAGTCTGCAAATCAAACCAGGGTGTTCATATCCCTGGGGATATAAGAAGACTTTTGAAGGGCTTTATAGACATGGATGGTTTTAAAGGAGACAGTTCCTGGATCCCAAGTCCCATAAGTCCTCTTTCTTAAAATTGAGCTGCTTGAGAGCCTCTTAAGTGGGTGAGTTTTCCTTTCTCACCTCCCTTTTCACAGTTACTCTTTTTCCTTTTTATGAAAGTTTTTCCTTTTTATTAAAGAATGGCCATCTAGAATCTCAATATCTCCATGGGTATAAAAATTTGAAGGGATCCAAACAAACTTTATACAATAAAAATTGGGGTCTAATTGAATTCTAGTAATACCCTGACAAATTGTTTTTGCATGATAGTTGTTTACATTTCTTTGCTTTTAACAGAATTGAAGGAGGGTATAATCAAGTTGTCAGCTGATACATCATTAAACATCATTTTTAATGACAGATCATTTTGTGGTTTTTGACATATAATTAGGAAAGAATTGAGTATCATTGCTATAGAAAACTCCTTCCTCTTTCCAGTCACATCTATTGATGGAGACTAGATAGGCAGTAGGAGCCCTGGGGGCACAGTGGTTAAGTGCTCGGCTGCTAACCAAAAGGTTGGCAGTTTGAACCCACCTAGCGGCTTCACGGGAGAAACACCTGGCAGTCTCCTCCTGTAAAGATTACAACCAAGAAAACCCTATGAGGCAGTTGCACTCTATCACACGGGCTTGCTGTGAGTCGAAATAGACTAAAAGTCACCTGACAACAACAACAGATAAGCAGTATTGCCTACTGACTATAAGCACATACTCTGCAGCTGACTATTTGGGCCCAGATCCCAGCTCTGCTTAGTGACCTTGGGCAAGTTAGTTACCCTTTCTGGTCATTGGTTTTCTTATTGATAAAAGTAGGATGCTAATGGCACATACTTCAAAGGGCCGTTGTGAGGACTTAATATAAAGAAAAGTGCTTAGAACGGTGTCTGCAACATAGTAAGTACTACGTAAATATTAGGTATTGTTTATGTGAACAAGATTTCCCAGTGTTTATATCTATAAAAAGGAAAATAGGAATAAAATTGATGCTGAACTCTGTCTCTTTCTAGCAATAAATAATATTCAACTATGGAGAGATATATGACCTGATAGAGGGGGAAGCTAGTCTCATCTATTGAATGAAGAGATGCAAATCCAATATAATATTTTTCATTCGGTCAGTGATTACATGTTATTTTATTTCGAGGACTTATGCCCCATTTATGACTTTTGTCCCTTAGTTTTTCTTTATTTTCCAATAAAATTTATATTCTTATGTTTAATAAATTTTAATCAAAGTTTGTAATATTTATTATAATAGTTCAATACCTGCAATGATAATCCAATATATATGTGTGTATATATGTATATATACACACACACGAACAATTATAGTCTTATAATCACAGGAAATTAAAAAAAACTATTATACAGTGAAGCCTGTGAAAGCCAGAACTTGATGGGACTGCCTTATTTTCTAGGTCTCACAAGTTTTCCGCCTTTGACAGGGTACAGTCTTGCCACTTTTCTTTCTTTTTTTAAATTGTACTTCAGATAAAGGTTTACAGAACAAACTAACTTCTCATTAAACAGTTAGTACACGTATTGTTTTATGACATTGGTTAACACCCCCATGACATATCAATACTCTCTCCCATCTCAACCTTGGGTTCCCTATTACCAGCTTTCCTGTCCCCTCCTGCCTTCTAGTCCTTGACCCTGGGGTGGTGTGCCCCTTTAGTCTTGTTTTGTTTTATGGGCCTGTTTAATCTTTGGCTAAAGGGTGATCCTCAGGAGTGACATCTTCACTGAGCTGAAAGGGTATCCAGGGGCCATACTCTTGGAGTTTCTCCAGTCTCAGTCAGGCCAGTAAGTCTGGTCTTTTTTTGTGAGTTAGAAGTTTATTCTACATTTTTCTCCAGCTCTGTCCAGAACCCTGTATTGTGATCCCTGTCAGAGCAGTCAGTGGTGGTAGCTGGGCACCATCTAGTTGTACTGGACTCAGTCTGGTGGAATCTTGCCACTTTTTTATCACTCAGTTTAGTGGAAAATTATTTGAATTTTCCTTCTCTGACAGGTTTCCACCTTACACAGGTTCTGGCTTTTGCAGGTTTTACTGTATATCAATTTATATGCATATTTTTGTTGTAGAGAAGGCATGTTATGATGTAAAAGATTTACAGGCTTTAAATACGTTCTGTTAGGCTAAGCTATTCTTTGGGGAGGTTGCTAGGCAGTGCAAATGGTTTGTGCTCAATTGCTAACCTAACAGGATGGTGGTTCAGACCCACCCAGCGGTACTGTGGAAGATAGTCATGGCAGTCTGATCCCATAAAGATTAAAACCCTATGGAGCAGCTCTACTCTGTAACACATGGAGTTGCCATGAGTCAGAATCAACTCAACGACAATGGGTTTGGTTTTGATTTTTATTCTTTGGGGGAAATGGAATGGAAGAATTAAAAACAGGGGTGATTGGGGTGGTGATATCTGGGTGGGGTACGAGGGAGGTTTCCGGGGTGCTGAGAATAGTCTATACCTTGATCTGAGTGGTAGTTACACAAGAGTATTCACTTTTTAAAAAAACGTGTCATGCTTTGCACTTGTGATTTGTGTACTTTTCTGTATATGTGTTAACTTCGGTAAAAAGTATATTAAAAAGGTGAAAAATGTTATTGGAAAAAGGAGCTTTTTCTTTAATAACATTTTAGAAAATGAATGTTGGTGGATATTGAATCCTGATGTTATTTAGATTCCCTTGATACACTTAAAAGTATCATGTTAGAGTTTTATTTTAAAACAATATTTACCATTTATCAGATCCTTTGGAGCAATTTAAATTTATGATGAAAAATTTTAGATACCAACTTAAACATGAAAGGGGGTACATAGTTTCCCCAAATTCGTGTAGGGAGTACCAAGCAAAAAAGTTTGAAGACCTCTAATGGTGGACATCTGTAGGACAGTAAGTTCTTTTTCTTATCCTCTGGTTCTGAGTTTCTAATTCCCTGATGACAAGATTTACCTGGAGTACTTTTTAAAAATCTGCATTCACAGGTCCCATTGCAGATTTATGGAGTTGCCATTGCCAGAGGTTTAATATTTAAAAAGCACCTTCTAGATGCTTTACCCTTCTAGGTAAATATACACCTAGAAAGCTATATATCTAAAAAGCAGTGAGGTGATTTGTATCATGAAAGTTTGGAAATTACGGTTCTAGACTAAATCAGTGTTATAGTGTGCTCCTTGGACCATCTGTATCAGAATCAGCTGGAGTACTTGTGTAAAATGCAGAATCATGGTTTTCATTCCAGAATTTTGGGAGGTGGTGCCCAGGAACATACATTTTTAAGAAGCTCTCCAGGTAATCTTATGTATACTAAAATTTGAGTACCTCTGTTCTAGATTTCTGAAGGGGGGCAGTGGATAAGAAAGACATATTTGTGATACCTAGATTTAGCGAAACAACTTTTGAATTTAAGAAATCATAGTAAAAAATTGAACTGAGGAACAGATGGAGTAAGTATTTAATAATTACAGCACAGATTCTAAGATGGTTTTAAACTAGTGGAACAAACCTTAGACTCATGAGTCCAGCTGAAGCTAACTGAATACACTCCTGATACAGGTAGTAATTATTACCCTGACTTTTAAGGTGATCATTTCTTTGCTTTTCTTTATAATTTTACCTCTTATATATCTATCTCTCAATAATGTAGTTTAGTTCTCCATGGAATTCTTAACCTAGTGATCTAGGAGTTTACTACAGTAAGATCATTATAGTGTAAAATTAAGGTCTGTCTTAGATCTTATGCAGGAGGGATATAACAGATCCTTGGTACTTACATCACTATTATGACTGTCATGGATTGAATTGTGTCCCCCAGAAATATGTTAACTTGGGTGGGCCATGATTCCCAGTATTGTGTGATTGTCCACCATTTTGTCATCTGATGTGATTTTCCTATGTGTTGTAATTCCGATCTCTATGATGTTGAGATGGGATTAGCGGCAGTTATGTTAATGAGGTAGGACTCATTAAAATCTACAAGATTAAGCTGTGTCTTAAGCCAATCTCTTTTGAGATATAAAAGAGAGAAGCCAGCAGAGAGACCTGGGGACCTCATACCATCAAGAAAGCAGAGCCAGGAGCCTGTGTCCCTTTGGACCTGGGGTCCCAGTGCTGAAAAGCTCCTAGACCAGGGGAAATTGATGACAAGGACCTTCTCCTAGAGCCGACAGAGAGAGAAAGCCTTCCCCTGGAGCTGGCACCCTGAATTTGGACTTCTAGTCTCCTAAACTGTGAGAGAATAAAATTCTCTTTGTTAAAGCCGTCCACTTGTGGTATTTCTGTTATAGCAGCACTATATAACTAAGACAATGACATAAGTTTCCATATAGTTATACGAGAGGTTAGGAAATTATTGCTATGTTATTATGTCTACAAATATGGATGAGGTCACCACAGTTTTCATTTCCTTAGATAGTCCTGTTTTCAACTATTCTGACCCTTTTTTTTCCTGAAAAAAATCAATAAAACTTCTTACAAAGTCTGATGCTTTAGTATCTAAAGTTTCTCAGTTCATCTGCATCTGCGCTTGGAATTAACCGAGAATATTTTTGTCAGGCCATGTTTCTTAGAAGGTCACAACCTGTAGATGCCTGTGGCATAAAAATTCCCAGAATGCTTTGGATTTATAACTTGTTATTTAGTGTTCTGATATTTTGTCACTATTTGGATAATCCACATTTTTTTTGTACTAAAAGAATTACGATCCAATTAGAATAAAAAATGGATTATTCCTAAAATATTTCATAATGATTTGTAGTAGTGAATACCCACAGACTCTATAGATGAGGCTTTATGATGCTAGAGTTTTTTTCATGTGTTTTGTTTTTAAACCCTGAATATTTGAGTATATTTATCAAAAGCCAAATGTAGAACACAGTATTTTTTATTTGTTTATATTTGAAATCTATTTTAGAATACAGCAATATAAATTGTAAATTATTTGTAAAACACATATCTGGTAAAGAATTTGTATCCAGAAAATATAACATTACATAATATAGTACAATGAACTCTCAAAACTCAATGTTAAGAAAACAAACAACCCAATCAAAAAAAAAAAAGACGAAGGATTTGAACGGACACTTGACCAAAGAAGCACGTGAAAAGATGTTCAACATCAGTAGTCATTAGTGGAGTGCAAATTAAACCCACAATAAGGTATCACTACATACCTGTTAAAGGACTAAAAACAAAAACAAGCCAACAGAAAACCCAGACAACACCAAGCGTTAGCCTAGATGCAGCAACTGGAACACTAATATGTTGCTGGTGTGAATGCAAAATGGTACAGCCACTTTGGGTGGTAACAGTTTGGCAGTTTCTTATAAAGTTCAACATATACGTATGTGGTAGTTTTAAAATATGTCCACAGATTATTTGAACTCCCTTTCAAAAGGTTGAGCTTTATTTCTTTGTTCTTGAGGGTAGGCTGGACTTGGTGACTTGCTTCTCACAAATAGAGTGTGGCAGAAGTGACAGTGTGTCACTTCTGAGACTAGGTTATAAAAGACCTTTGCAGCTTCTTTCTTGCTTTCTTGGATTACTGGGTCTGGGAGAAATGAACTGTTATATCATAAGGGAACTCAAAGATATAGAAAAGTTTACAGGAGGCCTCCTGCCACCAGCCAGCACCGACTCACCATCCATGTGAGTGAGCCAACTGGGAAGTAGGTCCTGCATCCCCAGTCACGTCTGATGACTGCAGCCCTGGCCAACATCTTGACTGTAACATCGTGAGAGATGCTAAGACAGAACTACCCAACTGTGCCACTCCCGTGTCCCTGACCCACAGAAATTGTATAAGATAGTAAATATTTGTTTTTACTTTAAGCTGCTATGTTTCGGAATAACTTGTTGCGTAGCAATAGATACTAATACAACTTACCGTACAACCCAGCAATCCCACACCTTGATATTTATCCAAGAGATGAAAACCGATGTTCATTTAAAAACCTGTATGCGAATGCCTATAGCGACTTTATTCATAACCTCCAAAACTTGGAAACAGCTCAAATATCCTTCGCTTGTGAATGGATAGACATACTGTAGTACACCCATACAATAGATTACTACTGAGCAATAAAACAGAACAAAACACTGATACATGCAGCAACAGGGATAAATCTCAAATGTATTATGCTCGGTGAAAGAAGCCAATCTCAAAAGGCTAGATACTGTGAAATTCCATTTGTTTGACTCTTTGAAAAAAACAAAACTGTAGGGACAGAAAACAGTGTTTGCCGGGGCTGGTGGTGATTGGAAGGGTTGACTACGAAAGGTTGACTTTGCAGTGTTGGAACTGTTCTATACCTTGAGTGTGGTGGTGCTTACATAATTGTATGCATTTGTTCAGACTCAGAATTTTACACTAAAAGGGGTGAATTTTACTGTATGTAAATTATAACTTAATGAATAAATCTGAACAGAAAATCCATTTGATGAAAATGACTAATGTGATAACACAGGTAAACCTCTAAGTCATAGTTTACTGAAATGGGAGTACGTGTGTTTTTTTTTTTTTTTAGGTCTTATGAACTAACCCGGAAGGACCGACTGTACAAAAACATCATTCGAATGCAGCATACACATGGATTCAAGGCTTTTCACATCCTCCCCCAGACTTTCCTCCTGCCAGCTGAGTACGCAGAATTCTGTAGTAAGTGCTTGATTGGGAATGCCACAGTCCCCAGCAGCTGAAATTGTGGGAGATTCACCCCAGGGGATGCCTCAAGTCAGTAACCAATTAGGGTTTTTCAAATCTTTAAAAAGTTGTGGCTCTCTAGTGAAACTGTTGCAGAGATAACGTTAAAACTGTTTTTATTCCCATTGTTTGCTCTTAGTGAGCTTGTCAGTATGTATGGAAGGACACATTAGTGTCATGTAAATGTGCCTCTGTCTTGTGTATATTTGCTTGAATGTCTTTTCTCTTCATTGACCAGAGTTAGTGCCTGCATAAGGACTCTGTATACTTCTGCATATGAATGCCTTTTGCTTGCTTCTTGGTGTCTCCTTTCCTCTTGCCATTTGAGGAATGTTACTGTCACCTTGATTTCTGGACTTGTGTGATTTATGTTCTTTGGGGTATGAGTATCATGTGTCTTTTGGTGTTAGAGTTTGGAGGTGCCAATTGGTCACACTCTCCGTTGAGTTCAGACTGAACGAAAAGTACACATGGCAGCCAGATAGGGATCTAATCAAGGACGGATTACCCAATAAGCAAGCTATGCACAGGCTTAGTTGTGCTTATTTACAAAACTGTAGTGCACAATTTTACCTATTTTTCACCACATCAAGGAGACATTCAAATAAAAATACACAAGACGGGCACATTTATATAACACTAATGTGTCCTTCCATAAATGATCAAAGATGTGGTGAAACCCATGTGAAATTGTTCACTACAGATTAGTAAGTAAACACAAGTAAGCCCGTGAGTGCCTTGCTTATTGGCTAATCTGCCCCTGCGTCTAAATGTATTGCTGTAAAACTAGATAGAAATACATGACCTGGATCCAGGTCTTATTTCTTTTGCCTTGAAGTGAACTTCCTTACCCAGGCCCAGGCACAGGAGCTGGGCTCTTTCAGGCTTCTGTCCATGCGGGCAGACCTTGACTCAGTAGACTTAATGTACAAAAGAAACAAGAGGACACAGAACGTATATGGCCTGAGGGAAGGCGATCTTTTCTGAGAGTCTAAATAGTAATACTAATAGCTAATACTTAGTGAACATTTGCCTTCCATTAGATGCTCTTCTAAGTGCTACTCTATGATATAAAAAACCATTGTCATCTAATTGATTTCAACTCATGGCAACCCCATGTGTATCAAAGTAGAACTGTACTTCATAGGGCTTTCAATGGTTGATTTTCAGAAGTAGATTGCCAGGCCTTTCTTCCATAGCACCTCTGGGTGGACTTGAACCTCCAGCCTTTCAGTTAGCAGCTGAGCATGTTAACCGTATGTACCACCCAGGGACTCCCACCCTATAAGGTAGATACTATTATTACTCTGTTTTACAGATGAGGAGACTAAGGTACAGAGAAGTTAAGAAGCTTTCTATAAGTTATGGAACTTGCAAGTGGTGGAACTGGGATTCAAACCCAGGTAGTTTGGCTTCAAAGGCCATGCGCTTCACCACTGTGCTTTATTGCTAAAGACACTGGACATCATGTATACAGTGATTATTTTTCCAGTAGTGCCAGTGAGAGAGGTCACTTCTCCCATAAGGCATATCAGGTGAGACTCACAGGGAAGGCAGAAACAGTTTTTTTCTCAATAAGTCCAAGAGATAGACTATTCCTGTTTTATAGGTAGAGGAAGTGACATAGAAAGAGGGAGAGAGTTCTCCCCAGACTTATATTTTGGTTCTTTTAACCTGTTGGGTTTACCAGTCTGATCTGGTCACCCAGTGGGGTGTTCATTCCTTGGGGAAGGGACTCCTGCTTCCACCTTGGTAAGGCTATTTCCTTGATAGAATTTGTTGCTCCAGCTGGGACCGTTGGTTGACAGTTCAGTGTTTGCCCATGGAAGGCTCCAAGATGGGTCAGAATAGAGCATTAATTTAAAAGTTAACTTCCAAGCTGTAGTGCACTAATAGTTGAAAATGTGTAGTTAAGAATTTTTGCTCTGTGACTTCAGCCAAGTATGTACCTTAGCTTCCTCATCTGTAAAGTAGGATTGTTACTAGTACAGACCTGACAAGTGTTGTCAAGATGTTTGTCTTAGGCTCCTAGGGCCGCCATAACAAAGTACCATCAAGTGGGTGGCTTGAACAGAAATTTATTTTCCTACAGTTCTGGAGACTAGAAGTTCAAGTTAGGGTCCTGGTTGTGTTGATTCATTCTGGGGGCCTTGAGAGAGTAACTGCTGCATGTCTCCTAGTTTCTGGTGGCTGCCAGCAATCCTTGCTGTTCCTTTGCTGCTTATAGATGACTCTGCCTCTGTTGTCACATGGCATCTCTGACTCTGTGTCAGTGTCTTTCTTTCTGTTTTATAAAACAGCACTCAGAAGGGATTAGGATTAGGACCCACCCTACTCTTGTATGACTTCATTAATTTAACTGAGAACATCTGCAAAGAAAAATCCTATTTTTCCCAAACAAGGTCACATTCATCTGTGCAGGGATTAGAAGTTCACTGTATCTTTTTGGGGGATACAATTTAATGCATAACAATGTTTAAATAGACTAACATGTGGAAAGCAATTGAAACGGTGCCTGGCAGATGCTTAATAAATGCATTTGCCTGATTCATTTTCCTACACTCATCTATTCCTTCCCTGTCTCTCTTCTTGCAGAGAAGAAAAATCAAGAAAAAAAAAAAACTCCTAATTTTCATCTCTTATTTATTTTTTCTTGCTTTGAAACAGCAACCTCTGCTGCCACATGAGGTATTTTCATCAAAACTGCAAAGGGCAGAGTTGAGTAAGGGTTTGTTAGCCACTGTCTCCAGTCTGGGATGGGAAGACTCAGTAGCCCTGAGTCCTGTCTCCCTACTTCTCTCCAGTGTCCTCTAGACCTTCCCTAAGTAGAGGGCAGAGCCCTCCTCTGGTTCTCCCCAGAGCACCTGCAAGCCTATGCGAGTCTTAGTATCAGTTGTCTGGTTTCTCTTCCCATGATCCAAAGGTATTTAAAGCATAAACCTGAACTTAGGAAAGGAACAGAAGTAAATGCCACATTTTAATCGCTTGTAAATTATTGTCTTCTCTCTCTACTTGCACATATTTGATTTAAAGGAATCTTTTCTTGTAAACGCTGAGGAATTGCTCAAGGAAGGGAGCCCTATTCGGAGGTCTAGCTTTTGATTCACGTTGCCACTGTCTGCTGTGTGAACCTCTGGAGGTCCTTTAGTTAATGTAGGTGAGACTCTGAAGGTGGCTAGCCGAACATCTAGATATTTGCCTTATTTTGTTTTCATCCTCTCATTCAAGTAATTATTAAGAGAGAAAATGGTGGAAGAAATAATGTTAGTGATTGTGCTTTCCTCTTTTTCTTCTTCTCCTTCTCTCTTTGTTTTTGTTTTATGGCTAGTTCAAAAATACAGGGTTTTTTTAGCTGCTGTTCGTCAGTTAGAAATTTGGAAAACTCTTTGGGAACCTGAGTGCATAACCGTTGTTGAAATTTAAGATAATAAATGAACTCATGCCCCTTCTTTCTCTTTATGTCCCCCCCCCGCCTTGTTTTTTTCTTTGCTTCCCAATATTTTGAGCAGATTCGTATTCGAAGGATCGGGGACCTTGGATAGTAAAACCAGTGGCCTCCTCTAGGGGGCGAGGCGTCTACCTGATCAACAATGTAAGTATGCAGTCGATGGCAAACCTCTCCCCGTGTTTGTTCTTTCTTGCTTCACTCTTTTCTCTGTATACTAATAGGGCTTCTTTGCATTAAGAGCAGGTGTTCCTTTCTGAAATGTACAGTCAGAAGTGTGAGTTGAGGGTGGGTATGTGGGGGTTACTGTTCACTTTATTGACGGTAACCTCCTCCCATGCCAGTAGTTACTCCATGGCTAAAAAGTCGCTTGACCAAATTTTGGAGGAGGACAGCCTTTGGTGTCAGCAGCAGATAAAGACGTACATATTCTGTTTTCAGCATACTGATATGATAATTCTTCAGCACTAAGCATTAATTTTGCTCATAGAGTCCTTCACTATTGCAACTCGAGGTTTGAATTTTTTCATCAGTTCTTTCAGCTTGAGAAATGCCAAGTGTGTTTTGTTTTTCTATCTCCAGGTCTTTGCACGTGTCATTATAATATTTTACTTTGTCTTCTCAAGCCACCCTTTGAAATCTTCTGTTCAGCTCCTTTACTTCCTCGTTTCTTCCATCTGCTTTAGCAACTCGATGTTCAAGAACAAATTACAGAGTTTCTTCTGACATCCATTTTGGCCTTTGAATTATGGTGTTAGCGAAGAATGTTGAATATACCATGGACTGCCAAAAGAACAAACAAATCTGTCTTGGAAGAAGTACAGCCAGAATGCTTCTTAGTAGTGAGGATGGTGAGACTTTGTCTCACATTGGACATCTCTTTCCCGTCTTTTTAAGGACTTCTTGCTTTTTTTATGTATGTTGTCCTTGATGTCATTCCACAACTTGTCTGGTCTTCGGTCATTAGTGTTCAATGTGTCACATCTGTTCTTAAGGTGGGATATACTTAAGGTCATACTTTGGCTCTCATGGACTTTTTCTAATTTTCTTCATCTTCAACTTGAAATTGCACAGGAACAATTGATGTTCTGTTCTGCATTCGGCCCCTGGCCTTGTTCTGACTGATGGTATCGAGCTTTTCCATCGTCTCTATCCACAGATGTAGTCAATTTTATCCCTGTGCATTCTGTCCGGCGAGGTCCATGTGTGTAGTCACTGTTTATGTTGTTGAAAAGAGGTGTTTGCAATGAAGATGTTGTTGGTCTTGCAAAATTCTGTCATGCAATCTCTGGCATTGTTTCTGTCACCAAGGCCATGTTTTCCAGCTACTGTTCCTTCTTCGTTTCCAACTTTCACATTCCAATCACCAGTAATTATCTATGCGTCTTGATTGCATGTTTGATCAATTTCATACTGCAGAAGTTGGTGGAAATCTTCAGTTTCTTCATCGTTGGCCTTAGTGGTTGGTAGGCACATTTGAATAATAGTACCGGTCTTCCTTGTAGGCATATAGATATTATCATATCACTGACAGCGTTGTACTTAAGGATAGATCTTGAAATGTTCTTTTTTTACGATGAATGTAGCACTATTGCTTTTCAATTTGTCATTCCTGGCATAGTAGACCATAAGATTGTCTGATTCAGAATGGCCAATACCAGCCCATTTCAGCTCACTAATGCCTAGGATATCAATGTTTATCTGTTCCGCTTTATTTGTGACGATTTCCAATTTTCCTAGATTCATACTTTGTACATTCTGTGTTCCAATTATTAATGTATGTTTGCAGCTGTTTCTTCTCATTTTGAGTTGTGCCAAATCAGCAAATGAAGGTCCCAAATGCTTAACTCCATCCACGTCATTAAGGTCAACTCTACTTTGGGGAGGCAGCTCTTCCCCAGTCATATTTTGAGTGCCATCCAACCTCAGCGGCTCATCTTCCAGCACTGTATCAGACAATGTTTCGCTGCTATTCATAAAGTTTTCACTGGCTAATTTTTTTCAGAAGTAGACCACCAGGTCCTTCTTCCTAGTCTGTCTTAGTCTGGAAGCTCAGCTGAAACCTGTCCACCGTGGGTGACCCTGCAGTATTTGAATACCGGTGGCATACCTTCCAGCATCACAGCAACACGCCAAGCCCACACAGTGTGACAGACTGACAGATACATGGGGGCAGTGAATAAGGAAAACTGAAGAAGAATTGATGCCTTTGAATTATGGTGTTGATGAAGAATATTGAATGGACTGCCAAAAGAACAAATAAATCTATCTTGGAAGAAGTACAGCCAGAATGCTTCTTAGAAGCGAGGATGGTGAGACTTCATCTCACATTGGACGTATTATCAGGAGGGATCAGCCCTTGGAGAAGGACATCATGCTTGGTAAAGTAGAGGGTCAGCGAAAAAGAGGAAGACCCTCAGCAGTGGCTGCAACAATGGGCTCAAGATAACAGTGATCATGAGGAATGGCGCAGGACCAGGCAGTGTTTCATTCTGTTGTACATAGGGTCGCTAAGAGTCTGAAGTAACTCTACGGCACCTAACAACAGCAACAACAAGGCATTAATTAAGTAGCCCTGGTGACACAATGATTAAATGCGTGGCTGCTACCAAAAGGTTGGTGGTTCATACTCACCCAGTGGCTCTGCGGGAGAAAGACCTGACAGTCTGCTCTCGTGAAGATTACAGCCTAGGAAACCCTATGGGGCAGTTCTTCTCTGTCACATGGGGTCGCTATGGGTCAGAATTGACTCAGTGGCACCTAACAACAAGCATCAGTTGGCAGTGTATATGTTTAGCTCCTACTGTGGGCAGAACTGTGTGTTTCTGCCCTCAGGATAATCAAGCAAATAACCTTAATTTGGTGCGGCATCCTTACTGCTGCTGCAGTGACTTCTGCTGCTTCTCCTTCCTTCCTTCTGTCTTTCCTACCTCCTCCATCCTCCTTTTCCTCTTTTTAATTTTTTTCAAATGCTATTAATATCTTGATTCTTTGCAAAATTCTCATTAACAGTTGTTTTAAAATTGAATACATGTTCAGAGTAAATAAAATCCCAACCTCAGTCTCATCCTCTAGATTTATAATACTGGTTAGTAACTTAAAATATATAGTTAATTTATGTTTCTTCTTTTTTTCGCCTTTACATTGTGTCTGTTGATTTTCAGCTTGACATTTACTGTACTCACATCACCTCCTACCTTCCCTGCATTCCATCTCTAAGTTTGACTGGAGTTTATTATTTTTCTATTGTAAAGGTTTATAACATTTACATTCTCTTCAATAACTAATTCAGTTTCTCTGCTTTATCTGTAGGTTGAGTAAAAAAAATTTAAACTCAACAGAAGCAGGCTTTAAAGCATTGGAGTTCTGCAATTAACTGATACTTAAGTCTAGGTCTTTTTTCATTCTTTCACCTGGATGTTTAGTGGACCCTTTCAGTTTGAAAACTAGTGTTTTTATTTAGTTCAGAGAAAATTATCCTCTCATTGTTTCTGTCTCTGCTTTTAGAACTCCTTTTTGAGGCATTCTGGGCCTTTCCTTCATGTCAGCTTTTCTCTCATTTTTATTGTTTATCTTTTCCCCATTTTTATCTTTTGGTTCACCAGTTTGAACTTTATCCATTCTCTTATTCATTCCATCTGTAATTGTATTTTTATCTTCGCTATCATATTTTAATCTTCAGAAACTCTTGCACTCTAATTTGCTTTTTTAAAAAAAATAACAGCCTGTTGTTCATTGAATGCAGTTTGCCTGCCGATCTTTCTGAGGATACCAATTGAAATTTTTTTAAGTTCTTTTCTGTTTCTTGAATTGTCTTGGTTTCCTCCAGGATTAGTTCTGTTTATTCATCATAGATCTTTTTTACCCCCCTGCTATCGGATTTTCTCCGTTTTGATGATCCTCGGGTGTTGGATCATATTTATAAACAAAAGACTAGACCGATTGAAGCTGGCAGCTGGCCTAGGTTTCCCCTGCTGTTGTGCAGGACTGTTTTCCTGACTGAGTTTTGTATAAGGGCAAAGCATGTTGACTGCCAGTCTTCACTTTAGGTGGATGGGGGTGGGGAGCATCTCCCTTCCACCTTGCCAAAATAGTGACGGCCTTATTTTAGGGTTAGGGGAAGACTTTTGTGCACTCCCTCTTGGGAAGATCTGCCTTTCCTTTCTCTTCTCATTGTGCCTGGTATAGGGATAGAGTAGCCTCAAGTTCTACTCTTTTCTCTCAGATCCCTACACCCATACAAGGTGCCTTCCTCAGAGCACCATCCTTAGATATTATCCTGAGGACAAAAACTCTGCTTTGGATGTCAGAGAGGGCCTACTGGCCCTGCTGCCCCAAATGCTGTTCGTTCATTAATTATCTGATTATTGTCCCTTGGCCCACTCCTGCTCTTCATGATTGTTGACAGCTTGGAGCTTTTCGGGGACCTCCTTGGGAAGATCACTGTCACCTCTAATATTTTGGGCTGAGGCTTCATCTGCTGTGTTTTCTCAGCCTGATCCCAACTACTCTCTATCTTTTAGAATTTCCTTAAACTATTGGTCTGTTGCTGGCTCTTTTAACTCTTTTCTAGCCTTGCTGTTACTTCATTCTTTGAAAAATATCTTTTCTGTCTTTTTAGTGGAACTCAGGTAGGGAAAGGGGGAAGTAGATGTGTGTGTGTATGGTCAGTATTCCATCTTAAATTCCCCCAAGTGTTTTTTCACATTGTCTATTTCCTATATATGCAGAAACTATTTGAGGGGTCTTTCACCTTAGAAAATCCTTGAGTCTGGAGTAAAAAATGTACAGTCAGTACTGACAGCCAGACCTTTCATGCTAAATAAATGGGATCTGGTTCTGACATGGCAACTCCTGCAGCCCCAGGCCTAGGCTACATGATCTGTTACCTGGCCCTGGGTCACTCTGGAGGCCTTTACCTGGGTCTCGTGTGACATAAGGCCCTGGCCATATACCTTGGGTCTGTCTTTTCTAGTCTCTGCTCTGACGTTGGCGTGAAGGCTCCTGTCCGAAAGCTTTTCCTTCAGCTCTGTGCCAGGAGCTCCAGTGTTGTCTGACTCTCATAGACGGCACTAGTTCAGGTTTGGGTTTTAGCTGCCAAGTGGAATTGCTGTTGAAAGTCAACTGTGGTAGAAGTTCGCTTTTTA